GCATTGCAGCGCTGAATGTAATATTTAAATACATAGAGAAATTTGGTATTTCGTATTTTTCCCCAAGAACTTGCTTACTTGGGAAAAGAAACCTTTCTGAAGATATATCCATCTTTGGACTCAGTAATAGTCCCTAGATCTACTTGTTCACAACATGATTTTACCTACATAAATTAAACTTGTAAATGGTAAAAATTGAACGAGCCAGCTCCTAAAGATATTTAGCAGTCAGAAGTGAAACTGAATTCTTTCCTATAGCTAATCATTTTGATTAGAACCTATCAGATACTTACATTTTAAAAGTAGTTTCTTATTCTGTAAGCCAAAAATATGCTTCTGCCATATATATTTATATGTGTGTGGTGTGATTGCATTCATGCAAATTTAGAATAGTAATACTATGATACAAAATATTTATAATATCATACCATGCAAGCAATCTGAAATAACGGGGAAAATTTTTTAAATTTTTTTCCCTAATTTTAAAATTACAATTGATATTAAATATTCTGTTCTTTTCAGGTATATAGCATAGTAGTTAGACATTTCTATAACTTACGAAGTATTTCCCCCTATAAGTCTAGTGCCCACCTGGCGCCATACATAGTTGTTACAATATTATTGTCTATATTCCCTGTGCTGCTGCTTTCCATCCCTGTGACTATCCCTTCACCTTGAAAACATTTTTTAAATGATCATGAATGACATAATTTCAAGATTGGGCCAAGTGGGCGGTACCCCATGTGTAAGCTGTTGCTACACACTTCAGCTGGCCAGGCAGAAATGCTTGACTTCCTTTCTCTATTGAACTACACAGGGCCCTCAAGCGTGTATCCCTTGTGCACTTGCCATTGGCTGGGTGACATGTCTGGTGCCCTGAAAAGAAACTCATTCTAAATCCTGCAGGTTTAATGGAAAGGAACTCTGTTGGGTCTGTGGGAAAGTCTGTCTGCTGTGGCGTTTCCCGGGCCATCTGACTGTCTGGGGAGGGGAGAGAGAGTCTTGCCACAAAATATTTCCCCAGTCCTCTTGAAACCAGGTCTCCCCCTGTTTACCTACCATGTTTTTAAAATAGGAAAAATCATTTTTATCACTGCTGGTTCCAACTCTATAGTAGAGCATATCTCCTTTTCAACTAAATGGATGGCAGTTCAAAGACTTTGGGAAGTAAAAATGACCTCAAGCAGATGGGTATTTGGCATAATTTTGATTTTGTATCAAAATTCTGATATTTTGCCCTAACTGGTTTGGCTCAGTGGATAGAACATCAGCCTGCGAACTCAAGGATCCCAGGTTTGATTCCAGTCAAGGGAATGTACCTTGGTTGCAGGCACATCTCCAGTAGGGAGTGTGCAGGAGGCAGCTGATTGATGTTTCTCTCTCATTGATGTTTTAAATGCTCTCTCCCTCTCCATAAAAAAAAGAAAAAAAAATATAGATAGATATAGATATACAGATACAGATATAGATATAGATATAGATATAGATATAGATATAGATATAGATATATTAAATTGGAGTTATATATGAAGGGTCATTTCAGCACCAAAGATTAAAATTGTTTTAATGACCATTTTCAACTGACTTCAATGATAATAGTAGCCCAAAAGTTATGTATAAACAAGTAAATAATAATAATAATAATAATGAACCTTGAATAGCTTTCTCAAACCTTACTCCTGTCAGAAATGAATTATATGGTACTGAATTTCATAATATAAGGGGAGGGGAAGCAGAGTTATGGAAAAATGCTGATCTCTTTCTTTTTTTAAATTTATTTATTTATTTATTTATTTATTTATTTATTTATTAATTTATTTTAAATCTTTATTGTTCATATTATTACAAATGTTCCTCATTCCCCCCCCCCTCCATTACTCCTCTCCACCAGGTTTCCACCCCACCCTCTGCCCTTTCCCTACCCATCATTGTCCTCATCCATAGGTGCAGAGTCTATGTTCAATCTCTTCCCACATCCCCATCTCCCTTTATCCCCAAGAATTGTCAGTTCACTCCCCTTCCATACCTCTGATTCTATTATATTCGACAGTTAATATTGTTCATCAGATTTTTAAAAATTTTTTTGGTTTTTAGATTCACTTGTTGATAGTTATGTATTTGTTGTTCATAGTTTTTATCTTTATTTACTTCCTCTTCCAAAAGAACCCTTTTCAGCAATTCATATAATTCTGGTTTGGTGGTGATGAACTCCTTTAGCTTTTTTTAATTGGTGAAGCTCTTTATCTGGCCTTTGATTCTGAATGATAGCTTTGCTGGATAGATTATTTTTGGCTGTAGGTTCTTACTATTCATCACCTTGAATATTTCTTGCCATTCCCGTCTGGCCTGCATGGTTTCTGTTGAGAAATCAGCTGACAATCATATAGGTGCTCCTTTATAGGTAACTACCTGCTTTGCTCTTGCTGCTTTTAATATTTTCTCTTTGTCTTTTGCTCTTGGAATTTTAGTTATGATGTGTCTTGGTGTGGTCTTCTTTGGATTCCTTTTGTTTGGAGTTCTGTGCGCTTCCTGGACTTTGTAAGTCTAATTCTTTCACCAGGTGGGGAAAGTTTTCTGTCACTATTTCTTTCAGTATGTTTTCGATATCTTGCTCTCTCTCATCTTCTGGGACCCCCATAATTCTGATGTTGGTTCGCTTGAAGTTATCCCAGAGGTTTCTTACATTATCTTCAACTTTCTGGATTCTCTTGTCTTCTTGCTTCTGCAGAAGAGTGTCTTCTGGCTCTTTATGTTCCAAATCTTTGACTTGATTCTTGCGATCTTCCATTCTATTTTTAGGACTCTGTATAATATTTTTTATTTCAGACAATGTATTCTTTATTTCTTGTTGATCCCTTATTAGTTCTTATTGATATCTTTTCATATCCTCATAGGTCTTATCGACCTTTTCTAGGAAATTCTTGAAAAACCTTATAGAGTTTTGAACTCTATATCCAGTCACTTCTTTTCCTCCATTTCTTTTGTTTGTGATTTGTTTCCTTGTCTAGGTATTTTCACAGCTTCCCTGAGTTGGTAAGGTGGCTTTGTGTGCTAAGGTGTCCTATATAGTTCAGTGAGTCAGCCTCCCAGTTACCTGAGGTGGACAGTCTTGGTGTAGCCCTTTGTGGGCTGTGTGTCCAGTCTTGTTTTAAGCCTTGCTTGTTGTTGGTATCACTGGGATGCATTGCTCTCCAAGCCAATTGGCTATGAGGATCAGAAGTATCTCAGCTAGGAGGATTTCTGTATTTTGCTTGAATGGGGCGGAGTCTTGGGGTGGCACAGACAAGCTTTGTTGAATCTCACACAATTGGTTGCAGGTGCGCGCACCTCTTTGGTATAGGCGCAGACAAGTTTTAGATTCCTGTCTGTCACTCCCTAGGAGAGTCCCATTCACTAAGAACGAGAAAGCTAGTCACTGAAAGGGCTTCTTTGCTCCACTTGAATGGGGTGGAGTCTTAGGTGGTGCAGACAAGCTTTATTCAGCCCCTCCCTACGAGGGTCTGGTTTCTGAGTCCCGCAGTAATGGCCGCTGGCTTTACACACATCCGAGAGATCTCTGCCCACTGCCTGACAGTCTGGCCTCTCCCTGTCTGGGGCCGTCTATCAGCGCAATAGGGTGTTTCCGTTTTCCTCCTGAACAAGAAAGCCAGCCACGCATTAGCTGTCTGCCCTCTCCGCGCAGGGAGGGAGTAAGCCAGCGACGAACTCAGCCTGCCCTCTCCGCACTCCGTAAGCAAGCCAGCAGCGAAGTCGGGTGACCGCCTTTTTGTGCACACAGTTCTCCGCACCTTCACAGTTCCTGAGGTTCAGTGCGCCTTCTTTCTCCTTCCCAGATGGTAGAGCCTCTTCTCAGCCAGCCGTCCGGCGCTTCAGGGTATTGTTTCCCCTGTTTTTCAGTTCTAAATTCAAATTTGTTGTGGTAGGCTGCCTTTGGGTGTCTACCCTATGCCACCATCTTGGTTTCTCTCTCTGATCTCTTTCAATAATACACATATCCCCACAGTGGGATTCCTTTCTCCCCATTGGATTTCAAAAGGTCTGAACCCAGATTCGATGTGTAGTTTTACCTTAGGAAATTTAGTGATTATGCTTCCTTGTTCTCCAGGATTATTTCTGATGGTACTGATGAGCCTGAGCATGCCGGAGTTTATTTAAACTGGAGGCTCGTGGAGGTGTTGCGGAAGTCTGCGTGATACACTTAGCAAATAGAAAATGCTTTAAAACTCTCTGCAGTCTTATTTAAACTGCCAAGCTAAAGCAAATAGGGGGGGTCCTTGGAGCAAACTATGAATCCAGCGGCAAACTGATGATCCTATTGCATCCAAATCTACCATGGAACCGATTTAGGATCCTCTCGTCTAAAGCCTTGGTCCCCGGGTGCTTGGTAGAAATGCAGGTTCTCAGGTCCCACCTGTAGATCCAGATTTTGCATTTCAGCCAAGCTGCTCCTCCCGTCCCCTGCCCCCCGTGACTGGAGTACACATTCAAGTCTGAGACAAAAAAAAAAACCCAACCCAGAGACCTAAGGCCATGGTCGGCAAAACTGCAGCTCGCGAGCCACATGCGGCTCTTTGGCCCCTTGAGTGTGGCTCTTCCACAAAATACCATTGGCCTGGGCGAGTCTATTTTGAAGAAGTGGCGTTAGAAGAAGTTTAAGTTTAAAAGATTTGGCTCTCAAAAGAAATTTCAATCGTTGATATTTGGCTCTGTCGCCTAATGAGTTTGCTGACCCCTGAGTTAGGGGAACAAGACTGTGTGCGAAAATGGTGAAAGAAGTGATCGCAAGGAAGCATTCACACGTTTCCCCTAACGCGTTTTCTTTTTTCCTGGTTTGTGAGTGGTTTTGAAAGGCGGCGGCTGTCCTGGCATGCTTTCGGTGCAAACCATCTCCCCTGCAGCATTTCTGTCCATGTTTCTTTTCTCGATTCGGTGAATGACCTGTGCCTGCCTCACCAAGTGCAGATGCCTGTCTTGCTGACCAGCTTGTCTCTCATTTCCAGTCCTGACCTCGCTCTCCCGGACAACGAGCAGCCACATTCCAGCCCGAAGCGCACCCCTCTCCGCCTTCTCTCCACTCCCGGCCCCTCCTCTCCATCCCCCGACGACGAGCATCTGGGGTGAAGGTTTTGTAGCCACACACAGGACACTGCCCAAGACCCAGCCGCTGTTGGCTCCTCAGTAGTTAGACGTTGTGCTGGGATCAATGATCGTCACATCTGTGGAAGGTGAAGGACAGTTAAGAAGAGTAACAGACTCCCAAGTGATACAACGTATTACGGTTTCTCTAACGCACAGATAAACTTCTGCAATGACATGGCCACAGTTCAATGAAAGACCAGGACACACAGCTCAGCCGACTGGCTTTATCTCGATAGCATAAGAGAGACCTAAGACCATGTAAAATACACAGATTGTAAAATCATCTTTCCTCAAACATCACATTCGGCTGTAGAAGTTGATTCCACTGTTGTTTGTTTTTTTCACCATTGGTATTTATTTTGTTCTCTTACTTGCCACGTGGGTTATGTTTATAAACATCATTTCTCTAAGAGGCGAACTTAATTCATGTATTTTTAGAGACGTGTCATTGCTCCATGAAGTATGAGTTGCTATATGGTTTGAAATCTGGCATCGGCCGGACTGTGGACATTTTTCTTGCACAAAATGATAAATGAGGTGCATCGGAATGTTACCCGTAACTGTATTTTGCTGCTACGCTGATATTGTTTATGCACTTACTTTCTAATCAGCTCATTAACTGCTGGATTTTTTTTTTTTAATTTAACTAGAAGTCTTCACTGGACGTTAAGTAAATCTAAGAAAGAGACTATGTGATGATTCATTGACTTATTCAACTTTTGACGGCATCTTTAATTTTTTTAAAATTGCAGACGAGTAGATGCCCTGGTGCTGCTCCCTTGTGTGTGTGTGTGTGTGTGTGTGTGTGTGTGTGTGTGTGTGTGATCACGTTAAAGAAGGCTGAAAAACACGAGGCGGGAAATGGTGTGTTTATTTAATGACCAGAGTTGTCTTTTTTTTTTTTCTTTTTTTTTTTTTCTCCCAAATTCAGGGCCCTCCTATGAGTCGTTCCTGCTAAAAGGTATCAAGTACAAATGGGGAAAATATATACATAGATAGATGTAAGTTCGCCTTTGATTAATGAATTTACCCAGAAAGTGTTCAAATAGTGATTAAAATTGTTATGTGTTGTTGTTAGTTTTTTCATAATGAATCTTCCTTGCAAAAAAAAAAAAAAATAGATAATAAACCTTAGCTCATTGTCTACTTTTGACAAACACTCAGGTGCCTACAATCATACATATTGAGATCATACATGTTCCTAGTTCACTTACACATTCTGCCGGGTAACTTACGACTTGGTTTAAGGCTGTAGATGTTCATGGCAAGGTTTAGTTTGCACATAACCTGACGCCTAAGGAAAACAGTAAATCGGGCTGAAAGGTCTAACACTCTTGGGCTCCTTAACCACTACGTGCTGCCCACACAATTGCTCCTCGCCCTGATTCCTGGTCTAGTCGGGTAGCCTTAACTTACTTAAAATCATAACGGTGTGGCCTGCCCATGTAACGATGTCTGTAAACGTCTCTTTAAAACAAACACAATCCTCACTGTTAACATGGAAGATGGTTAACAATACAGGGCCCTAGTCATGAAGATCTCGTCAGAGCCACTCAGCCCGTTGAGTGGAAGTGGGTGGAACCTTAATGGAATGGTCCATCAAGGATGGTGGCCACTCGGTAAGTCACAAACCAGTGCAGGAGCGTTCATCAGTCACGCACCTGTGAGGCTGGGGTCACTATTACCAAAGCAACCAGGAGGTTTGTCGTTTCTTCTATGAGTGCTCTTTTCAACAGTGTCACTTAGTATGCAACTTGAAGTAGTTAGAGATCTTCACCATATATTGAGATTCAGGTTAAAGAAACAGAAAAAGGAACAAATCTTCGTCAAGTCTCAATCATGGCAGCCTAGCCTTTTTGTTTTTGTTTGTTTTTTTTCTTCTCACCTGCAATGGCCTTGCTGTTCCCAAACACCTTCTTCTTTTTATTGGTGTTGTATCTGCCCTGTACCAGTATTAGTGAGACTGATTGTATGAGAGTTCAATTAAAGATAGCTACTCCTCACCATTGCTTTTTCTTTTTTTTTCTTTTTATTATTTCTTTTGCAAGTATCATGTGTGCGAACCTGAGAAGTGGTTTAGCTGCAATGTTGACTTTTAATAAAAACTGTTTGTATCTGAGGGAAAATACGCCATTTTAAAAGTACCTCAGAACCTCTTTCTATATCGCCTCATCAGGTTTGTTGCTGGCGCAGGGAGAGGACGCCGTGAGCGTCATCTCTGTGTAACCATAGAGCAGCCATCCCAGTGGCAGCACAGTGTTGCATCGTTGCTCTCTCTCTCTGTGTTTATGCCCCAGTGAAAGGCCGGGTCACAGACAACACTTTTATTTCTTCCGATAGGAATTTTATCAAGTCTATATGAATTTTTTTTTAGTTCCTTTCTACTCACAGAATGGGAAATGCTTATTTGGAAACATCAATTCTATAAAAATGTTCATTTTAGCAAAACTTTGCCAAGGAGGTAGAGAAACTTGGAAATAAATTTTTGTCACACAATTAGGTCATAGTCCCTAAGCAGTCAGAGAGAACTCCATGTGTTTACATTATGGCATAACTTAGCATAGTCTGAAATCAGCCCCATCTATATTTATTTATAGGCACTTAAAATGAATAAATATGTGCAGCACTGATAAAAATCAGTATAGCTGTAATTGAAGAATTAGTGGGGGGGGGGGAAATAAAACTCAGTAAAACCACTTCAAGAGAGATGTGGGGTGGGGGATGGGGAGAGGAAGACTACGAAAAAAAAAATACTGGCTAATTATTTCAAACATGGTGGGCAAAGATTAAAGATAGCCAGCAAGTGTGGTTAGCAGAGTAACGAGGTGATTTTTGAAAAGTAAGCACAATTACCATACTGAAGAGGACAGAATGTGGAAATGCTTTCTTCGGAGGATTGTTTTTAGGTAAATGATAAAATAAAAAAGAGCATACACGACCCTCGGATTAATATTCCCAATCATATCCCTTCCATCCACTTCTGTTTCAATAAGAGGAATTTGGATAACTTTGAGGGATCAAAGTTATTAAATAACTAAGAAAAGACCTATTCAGAAAGATTAAACTATAGCTTAAGAAAGAAGACGAAGACTATTGATCTGCAAGAAAATGTAACCAATGATAGATACCAGCTATTGACATTGTTATTAAGACTAGAATAAGAAGGGAAAAAAAGGCTTCAGTGTGAGGGATTTATAATAACACTAGGAAAGAGATTCTTAACAGTGGGAAATTAATAATCAATATTGATTATTTGTTTTTACAAAATTAAATATTTATTGTCCAGTAAGGATTAACTTACGTGGAAAGATACCTTATGATGATATACTAAGATTCTAGGATTTCATAATCCTATGAGTCTTTCATTTTAGATTTAGAAATAAAGTATTCTAGTTAGCCATAAAATATTTTATTCCTTGAAAGTAGGATAGCAATCTTGAGTTTCCAAAATATTTGGTAAAAAATAAAACAAGATTGTTGGTATTTTTTTCTTGCAGCTATATTTCATATTTTTAAAGTTATCCAGAATGTAGTAATTTTACTATAAAAGCCTCAATTGTCAGTCTAAAAAAACCCCAAACATCCTCAGGAATACTTTGGAAATAGGTTTGCATTCCCTTAGGGGGGTAAATGCCTCTCAAATATTATCTTTCCTTAAAAGAATCTTCAATCTACAACATTTGCTTTTCAGGCTTTGTTAAATATCCATGTACAGATAGTCCTTATGTCTCAAACAAGCATAAAATGTCAATCAAATAAACCATAAATGTGGACATTTCCTGATATTCTGCTTTAAATAAAATCCTCTGCAGTCTTAAATGGTAATTACAAAATGTAAAAACAAAAAATGAAATCTATTTTCTACTGTGATAAGAATGCTAAGTTTAATGTATAATTGTCCTGTTCAATCAGCCAAAAGATATAATCTGTCTCTCAGAAAGGCACATCAGAGGAAACATGGATTTTTCCGGAAGTAACTGTGCTGGTTCAACCAAGGTTACCACAAATGCACTGATGTTGTAGATATAAAGCAGGACTAGGTTCAAAAGGAACTCTTAGGGAAAAGTTCACGATTTTAAATATTGCCCTATAACTTATTTGTTTATGAACCAGAGTCTTTTTTAAATAGTCCTTGTATTTAAGATTGCAAAATATGTTTCCAAATAATGGGAACATAATTCTTCAAAAAGCTGTTGAACTGGTGTAGTGATAGATGGTCTAATGAGTGCTGATACTGACAGAATTTTCACCTTAAAATCAATTTCTGTGGACATACAATACTGATCTAGCTCCTGAATGAATGAACTTCTCCATTGTCTGTAATAATGCCCCCAGATGAGTTGTGTCTGAAATTGAATTCAATTTATTTTAAATACCAGGTTAACTGCCATCGTGTAGTTCATGATGTATTTCATTTGTAACCTGATTCCATTACTTAACATCTGAAAGGTTTTGTCTAGACATCTTTTCTATTGTTTTATTCAAAGTATAACTGAAAAAAAGATATTTAGTATTAAAATATGTTCCTCAATCAAGAATTTTCCAGAAATAATCTACTTTCGAAGAAGAGCAGCAATTATCTGCCTTTAATGTAAGGGTATGAGGGCATAAAAGTATGCCATGTAAAATGTTTGCATGAGATATTTCCCATCATGTAAGCTTTCCCATATTCATAATATGAACAGTATATAAGTCTTATTTTCTTGTGATTTCTCCATTAGGAATGGAAGGAGATTGTTACCTATATCTGGTCTCCTTTCCATATTGAAATGCATGGCTCTAATCAGTATATTTTTATTCCTTTCCTCTGGAGTTATTTAAATTTTGTACTATTTAAACTGAAACCTGGATAAACCGCTGAGCCTGG